GGGTCATCCGAATGCGGTGTGGCTTCATGGGATGACCTTGACCATAGTAATAATTTCCTATGTCACCTGCAAAGCATATCAGGGATCAGTTCAATGTTAAGCTTCTGACTTTGTCTTGTTCTTTGTTCAGTTCAGAGTATAAAAATGTTATGGTAATGTCATTGTTTAAGAAAACTGTTCAAATAATAAGTGAATTAGCTAGAGCCAAAAACAAGACTATTAAATAGCATTATATAGGCATTTGATCCAAACTGATTTAAAATGAGCATGTTACTTAACCAGTCTGTGTGATGGATAAACCCCTAAGAGCCCTCATGCACCTTCATTTCCTTCTTTTCAGTTTCTTTGTTTCATTCATTTTCAGTTTAAAATTAACATGTCACATGTTGACATAAAAGTTTTGAATGAAAAGGACTCACTTGAAGAAAGAAATCTTGTATTTCAACCCAAAACAGGCAGTGTGTATATATACATAAAGAAAAAATAAAATAAAAACCCTCTTTGTAATAATACAGCACTCTACTGAATTAATATACTCCATTTTACCTTTTTTAATATCTGTTATTATTTTCTTAAAAGTAAAAATTCAACTAGTCTCTTTGCTTTCTTTTAGACATTGTTCCATAGATTTGTTTGATAAACAGAAATACAACTTTCCATTCGTTTAATTCAGACTGTTTTTGTTTTAAATCTCTGATCCTCTCAAATTATAAATGTCTATTTTAATAAAACGTTTTTACAGATGTGCTGGTAATATACCATATGTATTTTGAACATTTTGTCATTCATCCAAACACAATGTGAATGCAAGATATGAGAATTAGCCGCCTTCGTCTTATCAAATTATATCGCTTTAAATAATTACTAGTAAACACGTATTTATTATCTAACACTTAATTCCAGCATGTTTGAAATATCTTGGTAGCCATTTTCGTAATTAAGCTTTAAGTTAGTTGAAACGTAGAACGCTGGATGACTTGAGCTCCGTGGATGCCATTGAGCCATCGTTAATCAGGCTACTTGCGTGTTGCTAGTTAGCTGTCGATACAATCACCTGCAGCAGTAGCGGCTAATGGCTAATGTTAGCCTGCAAGATGCGGCAGTAATTCATCACATACCGTCGTAGTAGTAGCAGACCTTCTTCTTGGTCCCGCCTGCTGTGGTGTAAGCCATGTTAGGAGCAGCTCTTTTGGGGGGCAAAAGTTAAGAATTTATTTTGTCAAACGGCAAAGAGGATGGGCGATATCAACACGGCGCTGCTTGGTAGGAGGAGCAACTTCTGGACTGGGCGGAGAGGCGAGGCCAGGCGACCCGCTGACAGGCGACGGAGAGATGGGGCGGGTGGCACCCGGACCTCGTCAGACATGAACCAGGAGTTCAAAGGACCCGAATATCACTTTTTGATAATATTTTTGATAATATTATCAAAAATAATATTATTGCTAACATTATTTAACAGTATTCAATTAATACTGAAGAATGTTAGATGAAAAAATATATACAAATACAAATTAAAAAATCAAACACATGACACAGAGCTATATTATTAGGACGTTAGCAGTAGCTGTTTCAAGTTATCAACAGAGGTAACTATTACTCTGTCACATTACTTGAATAAGCTTATGGGGGGAAGAAAGAAAAAAAATCCTCTTGCAATTTATGTTAATTTCTGAATATTGTTATTTTTTTTTCCTTGTTTTTATACTTTTTAAAATTTTACTCTTCAAAACAGTATTTAAATCAGATATAATGAACAGTTACTTGCATAACATTTCCACCCAATAGTTTCTTACTTTTACACCAGTAATGTTTTCGAATAAACTTTTTACCTACTTGAGTAAAAATATATAAGTAATGAGTTACATGAGCACAATTTTGGCTACTCAGCCGTCTATCAGTGAGGCAGAGTCGACAATCTAATGACCATTTTTAATGCACAGATTGAAGAAAAGAAAAGCTTAAGCATCTTTGAGTTGCTTCAATCATTTCAACCATTGTGGTCCGAAGTTCACTCATCTCTTGCGACCTTAACCAACACATGTGGGTTAAATTTGAAGAGCTACAATTTTTTAAGGTCATAGACTAAATGTTGCTAACATTTGTTAATAAGCTTTTAAAATAAAATAAACTTTATGTTTAGTTGTAAAATCTAACTGTGGAAAAATCTAACTTTTAACTTTAGTGCATCCTCATTGAGACAAAAAAGAAAACTGAAAAATAATTGTTTTAAACAGAATGATTGCACATCTGTTATAATATCCAAATCCCTTTTCACCATCAGGACAGATTGAGTTTTCTTCTGAAACGTGTCACAAAGCTTTGACGTCTTTAAATTATCCAGATGTCTGGGTCCTCCACTGTTCCCACAGATTTTCTGTAGGATTTATAAAGCTCTTTTTTTAAAATATCTGACCAGTTAATTAATAAAAATGTTGTCTGAAGCTATGTTTTTAACCCCTGATCCGGGCACTATCGTCCACTCGCCAGTCGATTATGAGCTAGATAGAAATGAACAGTGAGCCAAGGCTCCTGTTTTTTTTTTATCTGTAGCCTATCATATTCTGCTGATTTCTCTAATTACTCTGAAGTAGATAGCTTTCTTTCATTCCATATTTTATTACAACTTCTCTGCTTGAATAGAAAGAAGGAAATAAAGTTTACCAGTAATAAGCCTAGCTTTGTAAGCAGTATTGATTGAAGTGGCTCATTCACTCCCTGTGGTTAATATTTTTGTACTGCGGCAAATTACTTTTAATCCATTCTGCATAGTCTGGGCCCATTTTTAAAAACATTTGTGAAAATTGAACCTGATTAGAAAAGTGGAATCAGATATTTCATTTTCCTGTAATATGATTTCCTTTCCTTTCACACAGTCACTGTTTCCCATTCACTGCAAGCCAGCAATAGCATTTCATTTGGTCTCAATGTTTAATTCAGATGTTTCAGATGACACTTTTGATTGATGTGTTATGGACTTTCTTGTTAAACCACTCAAAGTGTGACTTGGAAAAAAACTAAAAGCTTTTCTCCAATTGGAGTTTGCACATCCAGACTTCCCTGTATTGTCTGCTAACAAAAGAAAAACAAAAGTTTCTCTTTTGTTGGGCATTAATGGATCCTCATCACCTTTGTGAATTAAGTCTTATGACAACATTGCTTGATCTCCAAAGTGAATCAGTTGATGCAATGTGTTTAATATGTTGCCAACCCACCATATTTTATTGCTTTGTCTGGAGTAAAAAAGTCCACCAGGTTGGAGTTTATGATCTGCAAAATGACCTTCCTATTGGAAACACCTGCTATAAAACAGAACAAGCTAAGTGTGTTCAGCTGTAGAATCGACTAGTTTCAAAGGTAAAGCATTAAAAATGTTCTAGTTTGCAATGTGTTTTTCCCATGGAAGGAGAGCCTCCACCACCATGCCATACATAACCATGAATTTTGTGGTTAATAAGAAGGGTGTCACTATTATTGATCTGGGTTATGAAGGTCAGTGCTTTATGATCAGTCTAAAGTTCTGCTGAGACAACAGCATTGTCACAAAATCAGAACAAAACAAAGGAAGCTAATAAGAAGAAAACACAAGTTACAGCAATTGTCTTTTGTGGAGCATTGATGGCAACTTCTATAGAGCAATCTGTTTGGATGAGTAGACAAACCAGAAGTGGTGGAATTGGTACATGATGGGCTCCACTGACACAGACTTCTCTCATAATTTCTTCTTTTTTTTTTTTTTTTTTTCTCCGAAGAGTTTTTGCCATGCTAGTGGCTCATATTTTTGACAGTAGGCAGAGAGGAAAGAGGACGAGGAGAGGGGGGAAGACATGCGGCAAAGGTCGCAAGGACCAGGGGTCAAACCCGTGAGTCGAACCCGCGATGTCCACTTCAAGGACTAATGCCTCCAAACTTGGGGCTAACTCCCTGCGCCACCACAGCACGCCCTGTAACTTCTGTTATAATTTTCAGCCATTTTTTACCCCTGGATTGAGTCTGAATTATGAAGAACCCTTCACATGAATGACTTAAAAGTCGAAAAAATTTGATGTGACTGTTCAGACAGCAGGTACTTTAAAAACAATATGTGACAGATACATAACTGATTTAGTAACACATTTGGGACCAGGCAATTCAGATTTTTTTGTGGGCTGAAATGATCGGAATTGGGCCAACAGTTGGAATTGTCAAATTGTCTGGCCCAATTGTCCAGGTATCTATCAATGGACCTATTGGTTAACAATGAGACCAAGTCAAATGTGGGCCTCATTATTGTGTGATTGTAACCATTCCTTCCTTTGTTTCACTTCATACCTCACACTGTGCCCATCCCCTGTGTCATGTGCTTCAGCCTTTATCCAAACCTTGTCTTCCAGTGATTTTTACCTAGTTTGTATTCTGGATTTTCATCTACCTTTGTTTTGGATTCTTTGGTTTGGCTTGGATTTCTGTTTACTGAGTGGGGACTACATTAAAGAATTACTAATTTTAGGCAACTGGGAAGGGTATTTTATTTTAGTCCTCTTTCTATGCCTTCTGTCAGTTCTTCATTTGCCAGAAGCCTTTAGTAAAGACATTGGTTAAAGACAAAGGCCTACATTGTTAGTATTCCACCATTTTTTATATGAAACAAAAAGAATGGAGATGACAATAAACCTCTGATATTCACAGGAGTTAGGGTCTAAAGCAATCTATAAATAGCTGAACTCAACAAATATATGCATCTAGCTTTTAAATATCTATTTTAATAGTTCAAATACCAGGCATGTATTAACAATATGCACATATCTGTCTACCACAAAAACTAACATCTTCAGTCTTGCGTATCTCCAAGGTAAAAGAGTGATGCTCCTGGGTTGGCTGCACTGCAATCACTAACAGAGAGTGTACCAAATAGCATTGCATCTACTTAATTGTATTTACTTTACTTTCACTTGCACAATACACAATAAGGTGACACAATAGACAAGTGGTCAAAAAAATTTTCACATGTACTTTTAGTTTAATATTTTTTAAGAACACAATTATGATACATAATGCATGTTCCCATTGAAACAGACAAATGTTGCTGATCATAATCTATTTAACTTAATTTGACAGGAATCATTAGAGGACAACATTATTTTACCTACTGTGGCTTTTGCAGCATGGCTTGGTGAACTTAGGAAAATAAACGCCACATGACAATACATCATTAAATTAAAACTACAAGATCAGTTTGTGAAAGCTATGATGAATTTAGAGCTTGCCAGGCTACCTGATAGCACTTAGTGGTGCTAACTACACATGTGATTATTCCAAGATGGATTGAGAATGTGTAAAACCCATTTTTACACTGTGTCTAAAACAGTCTTATTATCAAGACCTCTGTTGGAAGGAAGCATACAATAAGAACATCTCATTTTAACAACATATTCCACCTGAGAACAGTTGTCCTAAAAGCTGTCCAGTTAAATCTGAATAAGCCAGGCTAATTCTAACTCTGCACAGGACAAATTAACCTCTGCTGAAAACCAAAGGATGCTACAGGCCAACAGGTTAGCCTAAGATAATGTTAAATTAAAGACTGAAAACTAGTGGATGATATTTAAACCATTTGACCATGGTGTTATGGCTCCTGAACTGAACATGCTGTTTGGGTCAAGGTAATAACAAAAAACTTATTTCATTTTGTCATCTTAAATCTGCTTTATCTTGATTCAAAGGTTTACATTTAAACTTTATCTTAACCCTATGGACGTCTGTGAGGATGGTCTTAAAAACAACCGTTTGTAGGTTCAGGGTCTTGAAAACACACTCATTTTCACATTTTGTCATGTAACAACTCAACTTAAGTGTGTTTTGTTGGGATTGTATGTGGTAGATCAACACAACCTTGCACTGCATAAAGAAAATCAAACACTCTTCTAATTTCTTTTACAACTAAAATTTGAAAACTGTTGTGCATGAGTATTCAGCTCTGTTGAGTCAGTGCTTTGTAGAACACAGCTCTCAAACTAAATGTCTTTTCTTTGCAAAACCAAAATGATAAAAAGTTTTCATTGGCCCTACTTGCCTTTATTTGAGAGCAGTCAGACAGGAAAGTAAGACAGCTCAACCACAGACTGGACTGAGAACGTCTTTGAATAATGATTTTGAAATCTTGTCACAGGTTTTCAGTTGGATTGGAATCTGGATTCGTTGCTTGTGTCAGATGGATGCTCACACTCAACCTTGTTCTACTAGAATATCCGTCCTTTTAAATGCAGGTTCTATCAGAACATGTGCTACCCGCATGTTCTGACAGTGCTCCCCAGCAATATCTTGCGAATATTGCTGCAAAATATAGATTTTATTGTAAAGTGAATTGAGAAATTTATTGTGAGTCAGGATAATATACATAAGCTGCAATTACATTTTGTCTTTCCAACACATGTCTTGTGATTTTGAGGTCATTTTCACTGTCCCATTTCAAATTTGACAGAGAATCTGTGGAGGGAGTTAAAATGAGTAACAGCAAGGAGATGTTCCAAATTGAAATACTCTGTGCTGTATTATTTATTCGGTTAATCAAATTTGTTGTTTATGAATATTTAATTTGTTGTACTTTTTTCACCAATACTCTCCTTGTGCTTCCATAGATCAGAGCGAGTGAGTCTCCCCAGAGCCGCCATCATGTTTCATGTAGCTTGTATTTATTTAGACTTTGAATTCAGGTCAACTACCAGAAGAAATGGCCAAAATAAAAGCATGTTTTTGAAAATATTTGCAATTTCTTTTACAAAATACAAAATTAATTTAAATCAGAAATCATATTTGATATAAAACATCAGAGATTTAATTTATTTTAGTCTGAGCTAAAAAAAATAAACTGTTAAAACTCCGGTGAAAACATCCAAAGAGCCAGCCAGCAATTTGAACAAGGGTTTAATGGTTGTCAAGTATTTTTCTACTGAAAAGCATAATTTTCAGTGTGCTAATTTTTAATTGCATTGAAATAAAAATAAATAACTTATTTATTTCATGTGATAATCTGATGTCCATCTCATTACCTGTTCTAAATCTGCCAGGAAGGCATATCAGTAGTTGTGATCTTACCCACAATGCTTTGCATTCAGACTGTGGTGACTTTTAGATCAGTGTCATCTGACTGAAGAAAGAATGCTTCACAATTACTGCAGCATAACAAACAATGCTGCAAATCATATGCATCATAGTGTATATGATGCATAAGATAATTAGGTGTCCAATATCAGCGCGTCTAACTGAACTGCTGATGGCTTTCGTTCAATTACTTCTTTCTTGCATCTCTTTCATAGAAGTCAGATCTGTGACGTTGACAACTAATGGTTGAGAGATTCACCCGCCTGATTTCTGGATCTTTGCAGTTTCTCCAGGTGCACCAGGGCTGCTCCTCTGACCACTGCTCTCGCTGCCTGTTCTCAGAGTGTAAGTGAATGTTCAGGTCTTGGAAGGTTTGCAGTTGGGCCGTCCTCTGCAAACCTCTCCATATTCAGATGATAGATTGAACAGAGATTTCAGATGTTCAAAGCTTGGGATGTTGTTTTGGAACCTAATTTTCCAAAACAACATCCCAAGCTTTCTCTGCTGTCTGCTGTGTCCATTGGGCCTCATACTGCTGTTTATTCTCAGATCTATTGCATAATTAGCTCCACTTTCATCTGTTTAGGGGTTTAAAAAGGATTCTGATTTCAGATGCACTCCAACATTTTCAGATTTCACTCATTCCACAGGTTGGGACATGATAAAATCTAGAAGAGTCCAAGAAGTTACGCTTCTCTAACTCTTACTTAGCAAGTAATTGTAAACACACTGCATGAAAATGTTTTTTCAGGAGGAGAAACACAGACAGACGTGTAAACTGACTTGAAAACATCAAACTATTGTGTTGCATTATACACACATAGAGCAAACTTACATCAAGTATTATTTGGTCACAATATCATACTTGTATTAAACTAAACAAAGTGCTGTTCATACCTTGTGAGAGCTTTTTTTTTTTAGTCTTTTTTTTTGTATGAAAGACAAATTTCATGGCCAGTTAAATGTTCTTCCAGTGATCTGGTAAAACTTCTGATTAAATGGGTGGAAGAACTTCTGCAGCTTAGTCACTACAGACGGATCCACCTCAGGATGGATGCGGCCCTTGCTGCCGGCCAGGCACTTGTTGAAGACAATGTTGAATCGCAGACAGTAAAATCCCCTGGTGGCGTTAAAATACAGGTTATACTGACTAATCCTGGAGGGGAGATTCAGGAAACGCTCGACCAGCTGCAGCTCCGGCAGCGGGTCAGTAATGAGCCGATCCCCGTCCACTATGTGGAACTGCTCCACAGGGAAATACTTGAGCCAGCGCTCCAGGTGTTTTGTGTAGATGCTGGTGCGGACAGCTTTGTATTTGGTGTTAACTTCGCATGTTTTGGCGTCAATGGCTAGATTTTCAAACTTGTGGTAAGTCTTGTTCTTGCGCTCCTTGCCCTCAAGCACTTGGGTGTAGTCAGAAACAGCTCTGGTGGTGGGCTCTCGGACGATAATCAGCAGCTTGATGGAAGAGTTCATCTTGAAGATGCGCTCGGGAACCTCCTCTGTGATGAAGTAGGCAGGGCTCTTCTCAATTGTGATCTGGTGAGGGAGGGAGAAGGGCATTTTACCCCGGTACCAGTCAATTCCACGGGCGTAGTTTTTGTCGTTGTCGAAGAAGTGAATCTCCTGCGAAGCCTTAACCACGGCTGGGTGCAGGTTGAGCATTTCCAGCAGGGCCCGGGTGCCCCCTTTGCGAACGCCGATGATGATGGCCCGAGGCAGCTGCTGGACCAGGTTGTGCAGGCGGATTTGCTCTTTGGAGGCATTGCCTTTGCGTAATTCGTGGAGCAGCCCGCGTTTAAACTGTAGCGTTCGAAGAGGGATTTGCTCTGGCTCAGATGGGTGAAATCTGCTCTCAATGGGGCAAATGGGTTGTAACCTGAAAAATAAAAATATATACATTCAACAGAACATTTTCTTTCCACAACATTAGATATATTAAGCAATTTTATTATTTTAACTCTTTTTCTTCAAGAAGTGCATCACCCTCAGGTCTGGCCTAATGCCAATGATGTTGGAAATAATGCTTCACAATCTGGTAACATAATATTCTGCATGCTGTACTCAGTGTACAATTGACTAAATGACAGCGTGATTTAAGCCACATGTTACAGAAACAACTCTTAAATGACACCAGAGAGAATAATATATTCCACTGGGTATTTGTCAGCAAGGTCATGACACGAGTTAATCTATTTATTTATAAGTTGAAGCTAGTTTTTGGGCATCTTTAGCATGAAGATTTGCTAAGGGAATAGAGATGTATTGCACTACTTCCTGTTGTTGCTGTTGAACTTCATGGATTTGCTGGTGTTTGAGTCTTTCTTGATTTCATATATTTTCTGCTCTGAGACTTGACTGAGTAATTCTAATACATAAGAAGTCTATATTAAAACACATTTTCTGTTGCTACACCTTACATTTTGCAAACCTTTTGTATTACACATGCTTTTTGTTTGGCATGGTAAGGGTTTAGTTAAATTTGCAATAGCTTAACATTAGAGCCGCTATGGTTGCTCCTCCTTTCTCTCCTGCTGTCTCTATGTCTCTGTTGGATGTTATTTTGCTGCTTCCTTTAGTGATAATGGTGCATGTGATAAAGGTGGTATTTTGTAGCTTTGGACGTGTGGATGTCTGAATTAGAAGCTTGGTTATGCGCTGTGGAAAAACCAGCAATTAGCCGAGACTTAAAACCTTGATTTAAAGAAACAGAATCTTTCTGCATTTTTGCACTTTTCCAGACATTTGTTCAGTGAAAACCGAATGCTGCTTCTTCATGTTTGGTTCACACCAGAACCACAAGACCTGAGTCTTCTGGTTCCGAAGACCTGGAAACTCAGTCTTCTTGTTCTGGTCTGGTCTTTCATGTATTTTGATGCGATGACATTCAGTTAAATATAAACTAACAGAAGTAGTTTAAAGTCTGATTTCGGAGCTACAGTGAGGAAGAACTTTCTAAGATTTGACTTGGTTTTCCAACAATACATGTCAACTAACCTGCCTTTTACACAAAACCTGTTTACGCAGAACTTATGTAGAAAATGCTTCAACTGAAGGCCTGTTGGTCGGCTGCCAATTTTTGAAGGTGTTAGAGAAAATCATTCTTAACTTCATGTTCTTTCTGCTCCTGCCTTGGGGAAGTGTTGCTGTATACTGGGTCTCAGAGGAAGTATTTTCTCTCTCAAAGTACAGAATAAATTCTTTCCCATTAAGACAGCTTACAGAACCCATCCTGTGGAGAGCTACAGTAGATTTAAGACATTACAAGATGCCCTTAAGTCTGTGATGCATGTTTCTAATGTCATAGTGATAACTCACCTATCCAAAGTCCCAACCCTGGCCACAAGATAGAGGACACTTCCAATCACGAGGCTGCCCAGAACGAAGAGCTTCTGTCTCAGCAGTGCCTGCTGTTTGAATAGCATGGCCCTCCATCAATCTTCAGGACTGCGTCTTCAGCCTGCAGAGAGGAGAGCACATGAACCACTAATCAGCAGGGAATGAGAGACAGCCTAATGTTTATTAACACACACTCAATCAGGTTTTACAAGTGATTAAGCCACACTTGCCTGCGCCTACAATACATTAGAATTAGTGCCATTAGACTCTAATGATCAGAGGAAACGCACCACCACCACTTTGCTTGCATCAATTTATTTATTTTGGACAAGCCGAGAATCAAATTTAATCTGATGTACGGCATCACTGTGTAAGACTGTGACCTTACTCCAATGCAGGAAAAAAAAAAAAAAGAAGGCTGTCGGACAAATTCAAAAAGATTAAAGCAAGAACATAAGGGGAATATTACACCTATTTAATGAATAAATTACTTTATGCAGTTTGGTTTTGAAAATGAATGTTGACACAGAGTTGAAAATAGGGTTGAAAAAGTACAAATGTAAGTGAAATGTGGAAATTATTGAAATTTAACTGGAAATTGAAAAAAAACCATTTCATATCTAAACATCAACATAAACATTTTCCTTTGTCAAAGGTAATAATCCATTATTAATGTCGTATTTCTAAGTCACACAAAATATTATATGAAATACATTTAAGGAACAATATCAAAATACACTTTACTTTATGCAGCAGACATCTTTTAGCCAAAATACATTTTTTCCAACTACTTCCAATAACCCTATTATAGTCCAAATCATTAAATTCCAGAATTGTTTGACTTGCAGAAGATTAATTTTTCTTCTAAATATTAGGTTGCGTTCATTGTGTTATAAATATCATGTTAACACTTAATTTCAAATATGTCTTTAAAATTAGCCTTCATAGAACTGCCCTCGTTTCCCTTCTAAATCTCACAAATCGTGAAAAATTTTTGATTTAGACTGCAATTTGACAGTTTAACCAGCAGAGGGCACCAAATCCTTTCAACCCAATGGGACAAAGTCAAGCCCCTAATTAAAAGATGTCCTTCGATAATTCATTCTGTATCATTTTAGTAACAAGTATACCTGCATAAGCTATTAAAAAGCACGATGCTCTCTAATTCGAATAAAGACTAAATTAGATAACTGTCCAAAATAAGGTCTGCTGAGACTGGAAACATTTCTAATTTATTTTCCATTGTGGATTTTGAAGAGAAAGCAAAAGAGCCTCTGTGATTTCATCAGAGTCTGAAGAAAAGCACAAGAGTATGTTTGTTTGCTTTAATCACAAAAAAGTCTTTCTGTTTCAGCTTGACTTGCTGGAATATTATTTCTACCATCCACATACAGTAAGGTAGATTGATGTTATTGTCTGAAATCTAGAGTTAGAAACCAATTTTTAAAAAAAACCAAAAAAAAATCAAAAACAGAAAAAATCATCTCAGCAGACAAACAATCTTTACCATACTTGTCTCTCTGTTTTGTATTTTGTTGACACAAGACTATATCAGCAAAAATAGGCTGAGTCATCAGGTTTTATGACACTCTCTTTGTTGTGACTCAACAACCGTAAAAATTAAACACCTTCAAGAGTTGGCACCATGAATAAACATCACAAAAAGCCTGAAAACACACCAAAATATTAATTTATTCCATGTATATAGTTTGTGTTAGTCAACAAACCTATTTGCACCAAGTGTGGTCTAGTGATACACGGTTTTATTAAGGCGAATCTTGTAGTAATTGCAGTTCTTTGCTAATGTTTTTCACATTTTGTCTCAAAGGAACCACAGCCTTTATTGCCATTTTATTTGTTTGACCATCACATAGCGACACGTAATTGTAAAGTGGAAGAAAAGTTACAGTTTAGATTTATTTATTTTTTGTCATATTTTTTCACATAAAAATATGAAAAGTGTGGTGGGCATTTGCATTTAGCAGCCATCAGTTAACATTGTGGATAATAGCCTTACACTGGAAGTACTAATCCAGGTCTTTTGGGCTGTACCAGCTTCTCCCACTTTTATATGCAGATTAACTTAAGCTCAGTCAGAGCATCCACATCTCTTATTTTATCAGGGGTGGAAATTAGCACCCGCCACAGGCAGGTAAAAGTATGAAGTGGTGTGTAAATTGGAGCAACGCCCATCACCGTGGTGGCAGGTTGACAATTTGAACAGGGAAAAAATAGCTGCATTCAGTTCAAATGGGGTATAAACGGCTGAATTACTGGGTGTAAAATACAATAGGTACAATATAGTAGTTTCCTACCAAAAATGGGAGACTTGACGGTATGGGGATAACACAGGAATGATGACAGCCCGTGGAATTAATAATGAACACGTTTTGAGAAGAATAATTGTGAATTTCAACAGAAACATTAATAAGTAAGGAACAACAAATAGAACAGTTAGAAAACAGCTATTGATACCATTTATGCTGAAAAAATTACTAGACAGATCTTCAGTAAATACATCTCGGGGAGTTGTATCCAAAATGTGGAAATGTTCAACATAGGAAATGATTGCAAGAATTTTAGGATAGCGTAGCTACAATTTGCTGTTAGTAATTACTTCAAGTGAACTTATTGCACTACACCTCTGTTAAGGTGTCCATGCTTTGTTATGTTAAATTAGTTTGTATTTTACATGGTGAACATATTGTCAGTAAATTGGTTTTCATAGAGTTGAGAATAAATCATTATATGTCATTTGCTGGTACTGGTGGGGTTTGTAATTGAAAGAAAAAAAACAGTGGCCGGTGAAATGTCTGAGTGGCCGGTAAAAATTTTTTTATTTCCACTCCTGGATTTTATGTATTGTCACATATTCAGTTGGATGTATATCTAGACTAGGTCTAGATATTATTGTGGAAACAGCTCTGGCTGTTAACATAATATCGTTTCAGCTGGAAGGTGAGTTCTGCCCCAGACTCTGACAATCACTCTTCCCTTTAACTTTAAACAGATTATCTGTGAAGGCTGAGAAAAAATACAATTTTTTTCCATTTAACAATTATTCCTTCCTTGTTTTGGTCTCATGTAAAAACTCTGATTAAGTTGACAACATGGAGAACTTCAGTGATATGAATGCAGGGTGCAGTGAAGTGTTCCAGAATCGGACTCTTGTTTTATTGCCAGTCTAAGAACTGTTAGGTTACACAAGCTTCCTTAAAGCAACAGCACAGTCAAAGACATTTATAATATTGAATTGCTATAAATGCTGTGAAAGAATCCTAGCTTGACAAAGAGTTTGAGAAGCATTCTGAATAGCATGCACCGCGTTCTTCATGACTCATTTATAACCCACATAGTACACACACACGGATTCATACACACTCACAAATGAGTGTTTTGCCCTGACAAGGAACTGCAACTACAACAGCTGTTCCTGCCAGGGAGCACCTGAAGGTACCCAGAAAGTATGATCAATTATGAAGCATTTTATTTTCATTAACTATGCATTTTCTGAGGATATTTTTAACAATCACACAGGGAAAAGGAAAGTGCTGACAATTTTTACAACCAATGGTGAGGAGCAAGTAGAGAATAAGCAGAAAGTATTTTGCCATCAGTCAGTCAAATAATTTTATTTATGAAGCATTCTTCATGCTAAAAATAGCTCAAAATGCTCTACAGATCAATTACAACAAACAAAAACTAACAATTATCCACCGCAACCCCATATGCAGACTAAGCTGAAATGATTCAATTCAGGAAATGCTGTGTATGTATTCATTCATTCATTCATTCATTCATTCATTCATTCATTCATTCATTCATTCATTCATTCATTCATTCATTCATTTTCTAATAATAATTAATCCTGTTAAAGGGAGCACTTTATCCTGGAGCAGAACAGAGACACAGTGGACTTTATACACATACCCTAACTCAAAGTGAAACTAACAGCTATGAACACATAAACTACAACAAGTCATTGTAGATAGAAAAAATGAGAGGATTCAGTTCTCTAAATCTAAAATTTTTTTCTTTTGGAAAATTTTGATATTTTCTAGAAAAAATTCAGAAATTCTTAAATCAATCTCGGAAATTTTCTGGAAGTTTTTTGATGGAAATTTGTAGAAATACATCATGAAAAAGAAGCACTTGCCAACTTATTCCTGACTATGTTGTTGCTATGTTTAACAACTTTCCAAATTCCTGTAGCAAGTGTTTTTTGTCAAAAAAATTACTCGTGACAAATGACTCCAGGTGGAAAGAAGAGTACCTGCAGAAGGCTCATTCACACTGAGAACATGGGAATTAAACAGAGTTTTGACCTCATTTTATCATGAAAAAAGATTATTCTTAGAAATTTAAACAACTTACATACAGAATATGAGATGGTGGTACAACTTTATTTAAACAGCACAACTGTAGGATATGACAGCATTGTCTCCCAATGCTGTCCAAGAAGAAGAAATCTCCTGGTGTTGAAACTGTCTCAATTTTACAAGTACATTACCTACAAGACCTAGCAGATGACCAGAAGTGCTGTTTCATTAGTCTGATGTGTGTTAACTTCACATGGTAGAAATGTTATCCACAGACATAATGAATGGGAGCTGCTGGTGACACGTCTGATAAAATATTCTACCGGGTTCATAATGGAGGTGAAACTCCAAGACTCCTGGAAGGAGGAGTAACAAATAACTAGAAGGAAGAATAGACAGACATATTAAGTGTAAGTCTAGTATGTGAGACTCACTATATTCTTTTCCAGAACATTTTTCCCATTTTTTTTCCTGGCTGTGTTTCTTTCATTTTCACTGTTAGAGCTTTATCAGGGCTGAACTCCTCCTACTGCAGTCATGGTGACCAAGGTCCCAGTCAGAAGCTGACAGTGGGAAAGAGAAGCTTTCATTGTGGAATTCAAAGCTGTGATTTGACAGTAGACTGCTACACTTTATAAGTCTTTTTATTCAATACACATGAACAGGAGAGAGTGGGCTGTCTCTAAACCAGCCTGGGCTTCTGATACGGGTTCTGTCATCTCTCTTTTAGCTTTAGGCTAAATAGGGTCTTTAGCATCAGGCTACAATGACATGATGTTCCTGTTTGGAACAAGTGGATCCA